TGGTCTCCAACAGGTCCTCTTTCCTCTGGGCCACTGACTAACCCCAGAACCACACGTTTTCCATTCTCGGCTCCACAAACTTGGTGCCAAATACTGGACTTCCGGAGGGAAGCCCCCCCTGGATACTTCCCAAAGGAACCCAGTCACCCCAGCCTGCTGGCTGCAGCTCACTCTGATGAGCACATTGTCCAGATGGACACACGGGGCCCTCTGTGCCCGTCACTGGGCTCTCTGCACATGGGACCCCGCGTCCAAAAATACCACTGTTTGGGAGGCCAGAAATGCAGCGTTCAGGGGTAATCTTTCACTCTCATCCTGAGGCCCATTCCCTCTTGAGCCAGAGCTGGGGTGTGTCACTAGGGGGCGCTCGGCCACCACAGGGAGGCTGGGTGAACTTGGTAGAGCAGCGTCAGCGGAGAGTGTGAGGACGCGTGAGTGTCAGTGTGAGTGTGGGGAGGGGAACTGAGTGTTGGAGGAGGGTGTTGGAGAGGAGAAGAAGGGCAGGGGTCACCCCAGGATTTCAGGAGGTCTGTGTTTCCCTACCTCCTACCTCCACTCGCCCCTGCCTGATGCCCCCATTCCCACGCCCTCTCCAATATTCCCAGCAAAGGGGGAGAATCGCTTTCTAGTCCTGTTCGCACGTAACCTCACTTTCCTGTTGCCTCCCTGCAGACACCGCGTGTGGGTCTCCGGGCAAAGGGGGGCGGGTGGGTAATTTTCAGGCTGTGAACCGTGGTGGGGGCCGAGCTCTCCCTGCACCGGGGAGGGTGGGGGGCGTCGGCTTCCCTAGGTGTCCGCAGGCGAAGGCTGCGCCAGGGGGCCGAGCCCAACTCAGAGCTGCTGGAGGCGAGTGTCTGCGCCTCGGGGGGCGTGCCAGAGGCGGGGTCGGCGGGCGGGGGCGGAGCCAGGCCTTTTTTTTGGGCGGCTGGTAGCGTTGAGAAGCGCAGAGGCTTGGGGCAGCCAGGCTGCGGGGAGGCCGCGGCGCGGGGGGCTAGAGGAGCCGGCGGCAGCGGCGCTCGGTCGGAAGACGCGGCGACGAGGCAGACGAACCCGCGGAGTCACCAGCCAGGGGTCTCCGCACTGGAATTTGATATTCATTTGTCCAGGGTTTACCCTCCTTTTTTTTTTCTTAAACATTTTTTTTTAAAACCGTATTCTTTTCAGTTTTAATTTATTTTTGCTTCCCATTCCCCCGCTGAAATCGGGCCGACCGTTTGGGAAGATTGTTCCTTCACGCTCCCCAATCACTCCGGATTTTGGAAACCAGCAGAGAGAAGAAAGAGGTAGCAAGAGCTCCGAAGAGAAGTCGAGGAAGAGAGAGAGAGACCGGGTCAGAGAGCGCGCGCGGGCGAGCGAGCCACGAGAGGGACAGGGGCAGAGCGAGTGACCTGCTTTTGGGGGTGACCGCCAGCGCGCGGCCCCGCATCAGAACAGCCGCGCTGACCGACAGACAGACAGACACCGCCCCCCGCCCCAGCGCCCACCTCCTCGGCGGCCGGCGGCCGGCGGGGCCCGGGGCGGGGAGCCGCGGGCAGGAGCCGCAGCCCGCGCTCGGAGGCGGGGTGGAGGGGGTCGGGGCTCGCGGCGTCGTCCTGAAACTTTTCGTCCAACTTCTCGGCTGTTCTCGCTCCGGAGGAGCCGTGGTTCGCGCCGGGGCAGCCGAGCCGAGCGGAACCGGGAGAAGTGCTAGCCCGGGCCGGGAGGAGCCTCCGTCCGAGGAGGAGGGGGAGGAGGAAGAAGAGAAGGAAGAGGAGAGGGGGCCGCGGTGGCGACTCGGCG